TGGTGGAACATTCTAACACACCTGGAGTGCGTTTGATGGGGGACGGAGCCAGGGAAGGTCTTTGCGATGGGTGGATCCTGCCTTACCATCTACCGAGCTTGGGGCCAAGCATTTCTCTTGGCTCTGTGTGATCGATGTTTGGAGGGGTTCAAGACCCAAGGTAGATAAACTAGTTAGGGCATCCTGTGAGACTCTGAAATACTGTTTAAATAGCTATAAAATAAAGTCTGGATGGTTTGTTTTCATTCAAGTCAAACAGAAGTCGGAATAATAAGAATTGTGAGGTTTCACCAGATTCATAGCAGAACAAGCCTGGAGCTGAGCATTGCCATTGCAAGTGAAGGATTATGATAAATTAAAACATCATTTTTCTTTTTTTCCTTGCAAAAAGTTATCATGCTAGTTCTTTGCAGAATTCTCTTACACGGAGCCAGAAATTGTTCCGAGCAGGAGTAGTGTCTCTGCTGAGTGGGTTTCATATTCCAAACATACATATGTTGCACAGTGTCTAATTATTCTCGGGGACAATTACTGTCAGGTTCCAAAATGTGTTCAATGAGCAGCAATTGGTGTTTATTCAGCTCTAAAAAGACTATGCGAGGGAACAGTAGGCTATATTGTCTGCCTAAAGAAACGTTTTGCCATCTGGAAACATCTGCTTTCTATTTAAAGCACTGGAGAAGGAATGGGAGTATTTTTGAAATACACTCCCTAAGCATCGAACACCAAAGAAAGGAGAATAAAATTGGGTATGAAGGTAGTTTCTGTTCTCTGATACACACTCTCTTCAGCTTTTCCCTGCTGGGAGGGAAAGGCGGCTTCCTGGGTTGGAAAGTTCTGCTTCTCTTGAATTTTTCTATTTATACTGATTTGTACACTTACAGGAACTGACTCCTGTGTCCTAGTTCCAGCATTTTTGCTTTTTCAGGTGAGGCAAGATGATCTCTCAGAGCTGGGGTCTGCATTTCTGAATTTTGTGTGAGGTTTATAGACTTCTCTGATTTGTTCATCACGATGTAAGGATTTGTGGTATATAGTAAACTTTCTATGAAGGTCAAGGTATTAGTTCTCTTTTGCTGGGTAATAAATCGCCACAAACTTAACAGCTTAAAACAAAACACTTTCTCTGGATCAAGAGTCTGGGCATGGCTTAGCTGGATCCTCTGCTTCTGGGTCTCTTATGAGGCATCATTAAGGTGTCAACGAGGGCTGGGATCTCATCTGAGGTCTCAACCGTGGAGAGATCTGACCCCCAAGTTTCCAAGTGGTTGTTGGGAGAATTTCAGTTCCCCAGGGGGTGTTGGGCGGAGGGCCTCAGTTTCCCTCTGGCTCTTGGCTAGAGGCCACTCTCAGTTCCTGCAAGTGTGGGTCTCCCCAGCATGGCAACATGCCCCATCAAAGCCATCAAGAGAGTCCAGAGAATCTGCTAGCAAGGCAGACATTATAGTCCTGTGTAACTTACTTGCACAATGACATCCCATCACCTTTGCCATGTTCTTTTGGTTAAAGCAAGTCACAGGTCCCTCCACCACCACCACCATGCTCAAGGGGAGAGGATTGCATGCAAAGGGCATAATTACCAGGAGGTGGGGGTCATTGGGAACAACATCAAAAGCTGCCTCTTATAGCTATTATTTCAGAAAGAGAGTGTAGCATAATGATTAAGAGGGAGGGTGACCATGTCACTTGGAACTGCTTTCACATCCCGGATCTGCCACTTACTATGTAACCCAAGGCAGGTCCTTGGCCTCTCTGAGCCCCCATTTCCCCACCTGTACACCTCCCCCAAAGGATCTTTCTGATCCTAAAGGAGAGGTCATGTGTAAAACCTGGCAGATGGTAAGTAGTCAGTAAATATTAACTACTGCCCTTTTTTTTTTTTTTATCATTTCCCCCCCCTTTTCTTTAAATACCATTAGATTTTTTAATTTTAGAAGAATTAATTAGAACTCCCCACTGGCCTCAGATGTGGTTATTCATGTGGAAATCTCAGTATTATGAGCAGTTTCCTGGGCACAAAGCTGCAATCAAACTGGCCCTGGCTTGCCCAGGACTGAGGAATGCAGGTCTTTGGTCTCCCTTGGTACTCGTCCTCAGAAGGGGTAACGGGGCCTGACCCTGGCGACCCGGGCTGCAGCCCCTGAAGGTGTGGCCAGCTGGGCTCACGGTGCTCTAAGGACATCCTTGCATTCGGGCTGGGGTCCCCAGGGTGATCCATGTAGCTTTGGTCCATCCCCAGAGCCGAGCAGGCAGATTTGGAGATGGAGTGTCCTCATGTCTCTATGTTCACCTTGACCTGAGTCATGCCACGCAGATGACTCTTGGCCTTTGCTTATCCCTGGTCAGGAAGCTCTACCATCTCTCGTCTCCCTGTCCTTCCTGCCCTATCTCTGGTCCCTCCGCTTCCCTCACTTCCTCTCTCCTGCAAGGCTCAGGGACACAGAGTGCTTGAAGTCTGTGCTTGGCCACACAGGCTTCCCGCCCCCAGTCTCTACCCAGAGCACTTCGCCTCCCCACTCTTTGCACCCCCAAATCCTGTTCTTGGTTTCACCGTAGTCCCCTTCAGGCTGTGGGAGGAAGTTCTGGAGTCATTCAAAGTTAGCTGTGTCTTTCTGGAGGAGAGATGCTGGCTGTAGGCTCACTTCTTCCATCTTTTTTCTAGATCATCTGATAATGTCTCATGGGGGTATCTCCCCAGCTTCTTTGAGGATCAAAATCACCTGGAGCTTTTGTTAAAAACGGAGGTCCCCAGGCCCCTCCGTAGAGAGCCAAGTTCCTAGGTGGGGGGAGTAGGTTGGGGCCCAGAAACTTGTATTTTTATGAAGTGCCCCAGCTAATTTCCATCAGAGGTTTAGGAAACACTGGTCTAAGGGCGCTAAACCCCAGGCCCAATCCCTCTTGCTCAGTGTGGAGGACGTGAGGGCAGGTGTGAAAGCCAGGCCCCTTCCCCAGTGAGGGCTCCTGCCTGACCCGTGGGCCCCACCTGTTAGTGCTCTGTAGGAGAGAGGCAGAGAGACTTCAGCACAATGCAATAATTTTTTTTTTTTATCGAGGTATAATTGGCATATAACATCATGTTAGTTTTAGGTACACAGCATGATTCGATATTTGTATACATTGCAGAATTTCTCTCAAAATCTTTTCTGTAGTTACTGTCCTTTCAATCAGTGCCTTCTCTTGCATCAGCAGGAGACTTCCATGTGAGCAAGTGTTTTCCTTTATGGTGCTGTACTTAGATGATTAGCAAACTGTGGTGCCTGGGCTCGTGGTAGCACAGCTGGGGGATCCAGATGCCAGACGTCCCCACGTGGATTTGATTAGGAGAGCTTGCAGTCACGTGCACACACGCTCCCCCACAGGCTGGCCCCTGGTGACAGCAGATGCTGGAAATCGCAGTGAGAATGTTCCTTTTGTTTCTACACCCTGTCACCCTGTGGCTGGAAGGGTGTCAGTTTAGGATCGGGCGGGTGGGTGAACCTAATCACGTTCAAGGGAAGACAGTCGTCCTAGTAATCCACATCCCCAGAGACCCTTGTCCTGTTCTGGGACCTAGGAGGGAAGTTTCGGGGGTGGGGGGGAGCGGGGGCAAGGAATGCTTCTGTTGGTTCTTCTGGAAGGCTGGCCTCTTGAACCTGCTTCATTGAGTTAGCGCGAATAGCATGCCCTTGGCTTTTCGTCTCCTGGAAGAGTAGTTATGAAAGGGTTTCTGCACTTGTCTGCAGCCACAATTGCTGCTTGATGCTGATATTCATTGCGATACTCAGTATTCTTTGCATGAGGCTCAAATAGTAAATTGCTTTTCTAGGAAGAAGTTTCTCTCCTAAGAAAGAGTTTTCTTTCCAGTAATGAGCCTTCTCTAGGCAGAACAGGTTCATAGACTGCTTTGCCTAAAACCACTCCATCTAGAGACCAGACACTTAAAATTCACTTTCTCCCTTTGATTTTTTTTTTTTTTCTATCCACATGGGTGTCCTCTTCTTTTATGTCACCCCTTTGGACATCGTAAGGATTTTAAAACTTTTAATTTGTCTGAGTTACCTTTTGGTTTTGTTTTTATCTCTAGTAAATGCTTATTAAATCTGTAGCATTTCGTGAACGATGGGGCCACTTTTACATCCTGGGGGCTTCCCCCCCCACCATGTTATCGTATTTGGAACAGTTGAAGGATTTTTGAGCCAGTTTGCCTGAAGACCCTTTCTTTAAAATTAAGTCTTATTTTGTAACAGCTTTGTGTTTCATTTTATGTTCCTTTGTGAGGTAGATACCTTAGAGTGTGAAATGCACTGTAATCCGTTTCAGTTTTTTATCCACCTGCCTTATTTCTTGATGCTTATTGTCAAGATAGAAATAATTCTCCGCTTTCCAGAAGAAACCTGGATAGTGTGCCCATTTGGTTCACAATCACATTAAGAAATTTACAGGCGTGTGGAGCAAAAGAGCAACAACCATACAGAGGCAAGAATAGCTAAAAGAGATGGATTTCCCGAATTAAACTCCTAAACCTCAAAAGGTTTATAAGTTGGAAACATAAAACTTTAAGGCTCGGTCAATGACAAATGAATGCGTCCTGGGTAAAATGCTGTGAATTTGAGAAGTACTTACTAGACATATAATTATGAAGTTGCAAATGGATTGCAAAATCCTAAAATTGTGGCAGAATCCTCCAAAATAAATGCATCGCAAAATCCTGAGAATGCCAGCAGGATGTCAGAACAGGACCAGGATGCTCGACAGGACGCGAGGACACTGGACGAAGGGCAGCATTTAGAGCAAATTGCTCATTATGCCGGTTGCCTCTAGCCCGGGTGGATTGGGTGTCCGTAACTCCTGTTCTGGAGTCTCTTCTTCCCCTTTTTCTTATTTTAATTGTCCTCATGCATATGTATCTCTCCCAATAAGCTATTAAGATCTTTGGGGACAGCAGGGGGTGGGGCGAGAAGTCATAAATGATACATGAAGTCCTGTTCTTTCGGCTCATGCACCCTTCTCTCCTCCCGCAGAGAACAGCCCATCTTCACTACGCGGGCGCACGTCTTCCAGATCGACCCCAGCACCAAGAAGAACTGGGTGCCTGCGAGCAAGCAGGCAGTCACCGTTTCCTACTTCTACGATGTCACCAGGAATAGCTATCGCATCATCAGCGTGGATGGAGCCAAGGTACCACCCCAGAGGCTGAGGTTAACATTCCCAGGCACCGCCTTCTCATCAAGAGCCGTATGATACAGGGGCGCCCGGGTGGCTCAGTCCGTTAAGCGTCTGACTCTTGGTTTCAGCTCAGGTCATGATCTCAGGGTCCTGGGATCGAGCCCCGTGTCGGGCTCTGTGCTCGGTGCAGAGTCTGCTTCAGATTCTCTGGCCCTCTCCCTCCCGCTCACTCTCTCTCTCTCTCAAATAAAATCTTCGAAAAAAAATCAGTACGATAGGTTTCAAAGTGGAGGGGAAAGGATGTACCCAAATCCTGCTGCTTTAACACAAATGTTACTCTTATAATCATGACGTTGGTTGGTATGATCACACACCCTGCTTTTTTTTTTTTTTCATTTAAAATTACGGCAAATGGGAAAAAAAAAGATTTCCCTGTTACCACGTTGTCTTCGTAACTAGTATTTTAATGCCTGTGTAACTGTTCCACTGAGGGCCTGTAATGTCCTTAATCTCTCCCCTCATGGTTGCATTTGTCAGTGGCTTCCAGTTTTTTCCTGTTCTAGGTAATGAGCATCTTTATACAACAAATACTCCCATTCATTCATCACATACCTATTGCTTTCTTTTGGGTATTTCCTTAGGATCGATTCCTGGAAGGAACACTGTAGGCCGAGATAGTAACTGTTTATTCATGGCATGTGATGGATGTGACCCAGTTGCTCCCTGAAGAGTCCGTTTATCCAGCATGCATGAGAATGCCGGCGTATTATACTCCTCCCAGCACTGGGTATTATATCTAGTCTGGTTTTGATGTTATTATTCCTGGAAATCAAATTTGATTAAGAGATTTTGGAGAATTTGTTGAAATACATTTTTTCCCAGGTACTTGTATTATTCTGCTGTCTTCCTTGATATTTTTTTTTTTTTAAAGATTTTACTTATTTATTTGACAGAGGGAGCGAGAGAGGGAACACGAGCAGGGGGAGTGGGAGAGGGAGAAGCAGGCTTCCCGCCGAGCAGGGAGCCCGATGTGGGGCTCGATTCCAGGACCCCAGGATCATGACCTGAGCCAAAGGCAGACGCTTAACGACTGAGCCACCCAGGCGCCCCTTACCTTGATATTTTTGTCACATTGCTCTGGGGGCAGAATAAAGAAGGGATATCAACAGAAGGATCACCAAGTTAACAACAAACAAAGAGAAAGTAGATTTGATGCTGTATAATTTATTTTCTGTCTTTAATTGGTGTTCATCCAGCTGGAGAATTTTACAATTGACATTATCTGCCGTCACCTGAAATTCAGTGTATCTGGGGTGCCTGGCCCCACAGTTGGTGGAGTGTGTGACTCCTAATCTTGGGATCGTGAGTTCAAGCCCCATTTTGGAGGTAGTTTACTTAAAATAGATAAATAAACAAAGTCACTTATAAAAAAAGAAAATGAACTTCAGGGTATCTGAAGCTAAATTCCCCTATTTGCACCCCAAACCACCTCCCCATTTTCATTCCGTATCAATTTGGGCTTAAAAAAGAGAAGGAGGGCGCCTGGGTGGCTCAGATGGTTAAGCGTCTGCCTTCGGCTCAGGTCATGATCCTGGAGTCCCGGGATCGAGTCCCACATCGGGCTCCCTGCTCAGTGGGGGGCCTGCTTCTCCCTCTGACCCTCTTCCCTCTTGTGCTGTCTCTCATTCTCTCTCTCAAATAAATAAATAAAATCTTTAAAAAAAAAAAAAGAAAAGGAAAAGCACAAATTCATTCCCTTTCTAGCTGGTCAGTGAGCCTGCTTTTGAAGTACCTCACATTTATGCCTAATGTTTTGTTTTAAGACCATAACTTGTCCTGAAAGTCTTTTTTTTTAATTGAAGTATAATTAAGATGCAGTGTTATATTAGCTTCAGGTGCAGTGTATTCAGCAATTCTCTACCTCACCCAGTGCTCATCGTAAGCGTAGTCACCATCTGTCACCAAACATTTTTACACTATTATTGACTATATTCCCTATGCTGTACTTTTCATACCCGTGACTTATTTATTATTTTATAACTGTAAGTTTGTACCTCCTAATGGCCCTTATATATTTCAGCCATCCCTCCCACCTGCCTCCCCTCCGACAGCCATCAGTTTGTTCTCTGTTTTTTGTTCGTCTTTCAGATTCCACATATGAGTGAAATCATATGGTATTTGCCTTTGTCTGACTTGTTCTACTTAGATAATACCCTCTAGGTCCGTCCATGTTGTCGCAGATGGTGAGGTCTCATTCTTCTTTATGCCTGAGTGATATTCCATTATGCATTTATGCACATGCACTTTATCCATTCATCTGTGGGTGGATGCGCACTTGGGTTGCTTCCCATACATACATACTTTGGCTACTGTAAATAATGCTCAATAAACATAGGGGTGCATCTCTTTTTGAATTAGTGTTTTTGTTTTCTTTGGGTAAAGACCTAGTAGTGGATTACCGGATCATAGGGTAGTTCTAGTTTTAATTTTTTGAGGAAACTCCATACTGTTTTCCACAGTAGCTGCACCAATTTACCTTCCCACCAACAGTGCACGAGGGTCCCCTTTTCTCCATATCCTCGCCAACACCTGTTATTTCCCATCTTTTTTTTTTCTTAAGATTTATTTATTAGAGCAAGTGCATGAGCGGGGTGGGGGTGGGGGCAGAGGAGGAGAATCCCAAGCAGACTCCCCACTGAGCACGGAGCCCAACATGGGGCTCCATCCCACGACCCTGAGATCATGACCTGAGCCGAAACTAAGAGTCAGGTGCTTAACGGACTGAGCCACCCAGGTGCCCCTCTTGTCTTTTTAGTAGTGGCCCTTCTGACAGGTGTGAGGTGCGCTACCTCATTGTGCTTTCAATTTGCATTTTGCTGATGAGGAGGGATGTTGAGCACTTTTTCATTTGCTCAAAGCTTTTAGTTACTTTCTGACCGGCTCCCCCCTCCTGCCTGTAGGCCAGCATCCCTAGGCGGTCAGAAGCAGGGGAGTGGGGCATTGCGCAGTAGAATGGGGCCTGGTTGGAGGCTTCTTGCTTCTCTCGAGCCACAGAGCAGAAGGCACAGAGAAGGCGTCCCTTGCAGTGTCCTCTGGGGAAGCTCCGAGAGCCTACTGGTGCCTCCTGATCTCTTGACGAGGCTCCTTGTCTTAAAACAAAATTCCCCCTTTCGGCCGTGTTCTCTCAGCATAGTGAAAACTGCAGATAAAGTTGGCTGGGCCCCTCGATCCTCTGTCTCTTGCTTCCAGTTGCCACAACCCTTCCTCCTACGCAGAAAGGGAGCCCAGAAGTCCTCACTTCACAGTTGAGGTCAAGGATAGGCAGTCACCCGGGCAAATTCACACTGCCGACGAGGCTTGGCAGGCCGGTTCCTGTGGCCGGTCCCTAGGACAGCAGCTTGCTGGCGCTTGGGTTGGACCTGGCTGCCTCCGGCTGGTAGAGGAGCTGTCCTGACCTGACGTCTCACAAGCAGTGTGATCTTCTTCCGTGTTCAGATAGCAATAGCTGGTCTGGCAAATACGTCTAAAGAGAGGCAGGGGCTGGTTTTCTCTTCTAAGCAAGCAGGATGAGACGTGGCAGGGTTCTGGTGCGTGCGGAGCAAGTGTGAAAGTGCCTGGCGCCTAGTAGGTAGGCAGCTCGGGTTTGATGAGTGAATATCTGCAAGGTGGCCATCATCATCATCATCATCATTATCATTATTATTATTATTTTTTTAAAGATTTTATTTATTTATTCATGAGAGACAGAGAGAGAGAGAGAGGCAGAGGGAGAAGCAGGCTCCCAAGGAGCAGGGAGCCCGATGCGGGACTCGATCCCAGGACCCTGGAATCATGACCTGAGCCGAAGGCAGACGCTTAACCATCTGAGCCACCCAGGCGCCCATTATTATTATTATTATTACTGTTATTATCTTCTGGGAGACATGGTGATACCACAGTTCAATTACCTCTTCCCTTCTCTGTGCTTCTGAGCTGGAATCGCCTTGCCTCTTGCCAGGATGTTCTGATAGGGGTGGTACATCAAGCTGACCTGCTTTCTTTTATCTTCAGATGCTGTCATTTCATCTGCTGTCCTTGAGCTGGGTTTGCACTTCCGTCAGTTGCGTTATCCAAGGATATATTGGGCTTAAATATAGATAAAATGATTTTCTTCGAGAAAGTGCCTTGGTCCTGTTAGCTGGGCTTTTAGTAATGTGTCGAAGTGCCAGCCGCTGTATTGTCCAGCTCTGCAGTTTCTGAAGGCTGTGTTGGGGTGTGAGCCAAATGAGCCAGCTAAGAGACATCAGATGGATGTGTGTGTAGGCAGGGGCTGACCCCAGAGCTGCAGAACAGAGCCAATTCAGGGTCGGTGTGGGGGACCTGTCGAGTTATAGAGTCGCTTACTTAGAGTGGGAACCTCAGCATGGGAGCCACTGGAATTCAGAGATGGAGCCCGAGGATCTTGTCCACCCCTCCTGGCATTCCTGGAGCCCACCCAGGGTTCCCACCTTACTGCTATGGTAGAGGGGCTGTGACAGGGCCTAGTTCTGCAAAAGGAGGTGCCTGTGAGGGAGCAGGAGGTCCAGCGTGGTGGGGATGTCGGGACCTTCGTCACTGAAGTACTGTGACTGACACTCAGGGCAGGGGTGGGTGGGCAAGTTTCTTGCTGGGAGAACCAGAGCACAGAACACCAGATGGCGGTCACCGCTTTGTCCTAGGCCTTCGATCCCAAATGTTGATCCGGACTGAGGTGGCCGAGGGTCAGATGTCTTCAGCCTTTGGAGCTGTCTTGGCACAGGACTTGTACCTCTGACCTTGGGCAGGTCTCGGGCCTGGGTCCTGCCTCTCTCCATTGGCCTGGCCAAATCAAGTCCATGGCCTTGAGCCTCTTCTTTTTTTTTTTTTTTTTCCCGTATGCAACAGATTTATTGGACCTCAACAAATGTTCTTTTAACAAAAATTATAATTTTAAATACACCTCCAAAAGGGGCCTCATTAAATCTTATGCCAGTCCAAGTATTTAAACAAAATTC